TTTAGAACTGATAGAGCTATCGAGTATAAATAAAATTAGTTTAGTTTAGGTTTCCTCCTGTAGTAACACTGGATCAATAAGAGATGATCCTTACTGGACCTCTAGGAAGAACATTTTAGAACTGATAGAGCTATCCAGTATAAATAAAGTTAGTTTAGTTTAGACTTCAAAGATTTGGATTCTTGCCCTTCACTTGGTGGAATTAATATTAGAATGTTTTTTTACAAACCCTAACATTCTAATATCAGTTTAGTTTAGGTTTCCTCCTGTAGTAACACTGGATCAATAAGAGATGATCCTTATTGGACCTTTAGGAAGAACAGTTTAAAACTGATAGAGTTATCCAGTATAAATAAAATTAGTTCATTCTATTTGCGTTTTATGCGTCTCTGCCTTCGTCTTTGTCAAACACAAATTTCGGCTGACTGGTTACCAGTTCTCGCGCGGTTACTTGTTCACGTGCATGGCTGATGCAAGACTGTTGCAGTGTTGACGAAATTTTCTTTGATTTTGCGTGAGAAATTTATTTTATTTTTAAAACATTCTGTGGCTACAATGAGCGCAGAAGGAGGACAGCCACGTCTTTCTAAGCAGGATTTGTCGACATTGGTGAGTTTGCGATCTTTACGATTTAATTTTGATGTTTTGAAAATTGTAGTCTATATATACTGAGTTTCTTTGAATCCTTTGATACTGTTTGTAATCTGTTTATATAAATGCAATCTGCGTTTTTCGTGATGTTCCTATGTTATATGATACTACAGAGAAATCGTTGTTCAAGTTGCATCATTCGTGTGCCCGATTGGTATAGTCTTAATATTATGTTACTTTTAATACATACCCAGTGACCATCGTACATAATCATTAAAATTGATCATTGGAAATGTAGTCGATCGATCGATGACATTTAGTCAATTGATACCAACTGTTATAGGGCAATCGATGATAGTCACTGATTCAGTTTTGTAGAATATGCTTACTATTACAGCCATTTATTCAAGAGAAAATAAGTTCTTATTTACGTTCCAAACACACTCGTATAAATGGTCAATTTGTTCACGACCAATGTAAGTCGCAACTGAAATAAGAACGAGGGTTCATGCTGATAAAGTTGCGGCTTAACAGAAGTTCACCATTTATACGAGTGTTTTTGCGACTTAAATAAGACGCGACATACAGTTGTTTCACTCGTATAAATGGCCCTATCAGTGGCGTCGCCAGCCCGACAATTTAGTCCCGCTATGCACATTTAAAATTATTATCATTATTCATTTTTTAGAAATTGTTTGTTTTCACAGTCATTGAACACGAGAATATTTGCATAGCGGGACTAAATAGTCGGACTGGATATGCTACTGGGCCCTATTACCAGGAACAAATTTCTTCTCTCTCCCATTGACAACAGATGGTGTTAGACAGATTGAAATAAGTTTAGTGCAATGTGGCTGAATGGGTTAATCAGACTATAGTCCCATGTGTCTCGTTAACCTATTAAATTGCAGTGTGCCCTTGTTTATTATTTTACTCTGTTTAATGCCAGACAATTTTACTCATAAAGATGAAACCGCTGACAGTCAATGGGTTAACTAAATGTATGTGATTTTATAGAAAATTGAACAACTCCATCCTTTGACACCAGAAGTTATAAGTCGACAAGCAACAATTAATATTGGTAAGTGGCTTGGCCCCTGCCTCTCTTGTGGATTAATATATATGCCACTATACTAGGAATCTATCTGAATCAGAGGAATCTATGCACGATTTTGGCACCGACAACTTTCTCTATGTACTAGGTACCATTGGTCACGTAGCTCATGGCAAGTCAACTGTTGTCAAAGCTTTATCTGGTGTTCAGGTAAAAAATGGTGGCCTATAACTAAACTAACTTTATTTATACCGGATAGCTCTATCAGTTCTAAACTGTTCTTCCTGGAGGTCCAATAAAGATCATCTTTTATTGATCCAGTGTTACTACAGGAGGAAACCTAAACTAAACTAACTTTATTTATACTTGATAGCTCTATCGGTTCTGAACTGTTCTTCCTAGAGGTCCAGTAAGGATCATCTCTTATTGATCCAGTGTTACTACAGGAGGAAACCTAAACTAAACTAACTTTATTTATACTGGATAGCTCTATCAGTTCTAAACTGTTCTTCCTAGAGGTCCAGTAAAGATCATCTCTTATTGATCCAGTGTTACTATAGGAGGAAACCTAAACTAAACTAACTTTATTTATACTGGATAGCTCTATCAGTTCTAAACTGTTTTCCCTAGAGGTTCAGTAAGGATCATCTCTTATTGATCCAGTGTTACTACAGGAGGAAACCTAAACTAAACTAACTTTATTTATACTGGATAGCTCTATCAGTTCCAAACTGTTCTTCCTAGAGGTCCAGTAAGGATCGTCTCTTATTGATCCAGTGTTACTACAGGAGGAAACCTAAACTAAACTAACTTTATTTATACTGGATAACTCTATCAGTTCTAAACTGTTCTCCTTAGATGTCCAGTAAGGATCATCTCCTATTGATCCAGTGTTATGACAGAAAGGAAATTTAGCTTGCAGGGATTGATAGGGTCAAACCAGTGCATGAGAACACGTTATGATGAGCCTTGCACTATTGGTTAGCAATTAAGCATTTACAACTTCTGTTGATCTTTTTTAGACTGTTCGATTCAAGAATGAACTTGAAAGAAATATCACAATAAAACTTGGTTATGCCAATGCAAAGGTATTTTACAGACTAATAATACAGTGTCTATAAGTGTTCTGTATAATACAACTTTGTTTTAGGCTGTGGTGTGTTTAAAAAAAGATAACCAACATCAAAATTGGTTCCTAAATTTGTAACAAATGAAAATATTTTCTAGATCTACAAATGCAGCAATCAAAGCTGTTCACGACCAAGTTGTTATCGCTCGGCAGGAAGCGCTCGGGAAGATGTATTGCCGTGTGAAAGACAGGGGTGTTCTGGAAAATCCCAGTTGGTCAGGTGAGTGGAAATCAGGGAACGTTTGCTTACAAGTGGATCACTACAAAGTCTCTCGAGTCGAATTCTTTTGCGTAGAAAATTTTCAGAAAATATAACATTGCCTCGTACTATAATAGTAAAATTTATGACTTGTAGGCATGTTTCGTTCGTTGATTGCCCAGGTCACGATATTCTTATGGCAACCATGTTGAACGGAGCCGCTGTTATGGATGCTGCTTTGCTATTGATTGGTGAGACTTGCATTTTATCCTTTCACTTGCTGTCGATGCAATGGAAGTGTTGATAAAATATTGCACCAGTTCCTTTACTCAAGTTGATCAATTCATTTGATGGAAAATTGATCAATTTCCTGTTACTTTTAGATTAGCCAATTCGATTTCGTTTCAGAACTGATTGACCAATAGGAAACACACAGGAAGTAAAAAGAAATTTGAATTCATATGAATTGATCAACTTGAGGAAATGAATTCATGCAATATTTTATCAACACTTCCATTGCATCGACAGTAAGGCCACAAGAAATATAACTGTAATAGTTCCTGAGACTTATTGTTTGAAAGCAATGCATTCTCATCCAATGAGATGCAATCTTGAGCACATGAGCTTCAACATTTGGTATATAATAACTTCACTTATTAAATGTATGTTTAACCAATTTAAAAGTATGCTTTTAATTCATTAAGTTGCACTGTGCTAAGACTTAGCTAATGCACCCTACTTTATTATTTTACTTTATCTAATGCCAGACAATTTTACTCATGAATGGAAGATATCTGTCAATTGAACTCCCCTCTTAAACTGGAGATCTTATTTTATAATTTGATGTACCTTTTTTTAGCTGGCAATGAGTCGTGCCCTCAACCACAGACGTCAGAGCATTTAGCCGCCATTGAAATCATGAAGTTAAAACACATCATTATCTTGCAAAATAAGATTGATCTTGTAAGAGAAAGCCAAGCCAAGGAACAGTATCTACAGATCAAAAAATTTGTTGAAGGTATCATTGTGAAAATGTTATCAATATGGCATCTAAGGAGAACAGTTTAGAACTGACAGAGCTATCCAGTATAAATAAAGTTAGTTTAGTTTAGGTTTCCTCCTGTAGTAACACTGGATCAATAAGAGATGACCCTTACTGCACCTCTAGAGAGAACAGTTTAGAACTGATAGAGCTATCCAGTATAAATAAAGTTAGTTTAGTTTAGGTTTCCTCCTGTAGTAACACTGGATCAATAAGAGATGTTCCTTACTGGACCTCTAGAGAGAACAGTTCAGAACTGATAGAGCTATCCAAGGCAGTGTAAATATCCCAAACAGTATTTGAAAGTACGATTCTTCTCCCCAGGCACAATTGCGGAAGGAGCACCAGTGGTTCCTATCTCAGCACAGTTAAAATACAACATTGAAGTCATTTGTGAATACATCTGTAAGAAAATACCCATCCCACTACGAGACTTCACATCACAACCAAGGCTTATTGGTAGGTTTTGAGAACTACTTTGAAACACGATTCAAATGCTCGGTTACCTCATTGATGCTTTCGTAATGAAATAAAACATTTTATTGTTTGTAGTGATTCGTTCTTTCGATGTGAATAAACCCGGTTGCGAAGTACAAGATTTGAAGGGTGGTGTCGCTGGCGGAAGTATTTTACGTGGAGTGTTAAAAGTATGGTGAAACAAATTGTCTTTATACAGTATATATCACTTGCACATGAAATTTGAATATAAATTCAATATAACAGCAATTCATTTTGTCAACATACCTCAAGAATAATTTCATCTCATTGAAATTTAAAAAATGAGTTAAAACAAGACCAGCTTTTCAAAGCACACGCTAGGGCATATTTTATCAATCGCGTCTTCGTTCAGGTTGGTCAGGAAATCGAAGTGCGACCAGGGATTGTTTCCAAGGACGAGAAAGGGAAACTACGTTGGGAGCCAATCTGTTCCGTGATCGTTTCGTTGTTTGCTGAACAGAATGATCTACAGTATGCTGTACCGGGTGGTCTTATTGGTAAGCTTGGCTTTTGAATGTTATGAATTTTTACCGAACTTTATAGACTGTTGATGTTCTATAATGACTGTCAATGACTAATCTGGATGTCGAGAAATTAGAAAAGTTTAAAACTGAGAGGTCTATGCTAGCTATGCTTCTCACTGGACCTCTGGGAAGATTTATAGTTTAATTTTTTAAAGCCATCCTTTACAACTTGTATATAGAATGGAACGCACTAACCAACTTTGAATTGCCTATATTTATTTGATTATCTTTTATCATAAACAGGTGTTGGAACAAAAATTGACCCCACTCTTTGCAGAGCAGACAGAATGGTCGGACACGTAAGTAGCAATCCAATGGATCATTTGATGAAATTCTTGTATTGTTGCTGAACCATCCAGTGCTTGGTTTAGCGAATGTAGTTCAAGTTTGATGGCGTGCACACGAGCTGGTTAAAGCGGACTGTCAAGTATTCGTAATGGTAAACAGTCTTTATAAAGCTTGTGATATTGTTTCAGGTGTTGGGTGCTGCTGATGCTTTGCCAGACATCTACACAGAATTGGAAATCAGTTATTTCTTGTTGAGGAGACTGCTGGGCGTTAGAACTGAAGGCGACAAGAAGGCCGCAAAGGTAGATGGATATGCACCCTTAATGTCGCGGAACGATGACTGCACAGATGACATTTATAATAAATAAAGTTAGTTTAAGTTTCCTCCTGTAGTAACACTGGATCAATAAGAGATAATCCTTACTGGACCTCTAGGGAGAACAGTTTAGAACTGATAGAGCTATTCAGTATAAATAAAGTTAGTTTAGTTTACGTTTCCTCCTGTAGTAGCACTGGATCAATAAGAGATGATCCTTACTGGACCTCTAGGAAGAACAGTTTAGAACTGATAGAGCTATCCAGTATAAATAAGTTAGTTTAGTTTAGGTTTCCTCCTGTAGTAAGACTGGATCAATAAGAGATGATCCTTACTGGACCTCCAGGACGAACAGTTTAGAACTGATAGAGCTATCCAGTATAAATAAAGTTAGTTTACGTTTCCTCCTGTACAGTAGTTACACTAGATCAATCTGATATAATCCTTGCTTGGACGTCTAGGTAATCCAAGATAATTAAAATGTTGCTAAATGGTCATCTAGGTACAAAAATTATCAAAGAACGAAGTTTTGATGGTGAACATTGGTTCTCTGTCGACTGGTGGCCGTGTTATTGCGGTGAAAGTTGATTTGGCGAAGATTGTATTGACGCAACCGGTCTGTACTGAGATTGGAGAGAAGATTGCTTTGAGCAGAAGGGTGGAAAAACATTGGAGGTGAGGTTTAAAGATGTTTGTCTAGTTCCTTAATTTGTTTGTTTGTTCGTTTATTAGTTACCGGTAGTTAATTAATTAGTTTGTTTATTTGTTAGTTTGTTAATTGGTTAGTTAGCTTGTGTGTTTTGTTGGTTGGCTTTTGAAAACGGAGTTCTGGCTTTTGAAAACGGAGTTCTGGCATTTGAAAACGGATTGTTGGCATTTGAAAAGGGAGTTCTTTATGGCATTTGAAAAGGGAATTCTTTATGGCATTTGAAAACGGAGTTGTGGCTTTTGAAAACGGACATCTGACAAACAGACAGATATAGGCCCCGGTAGACATAGAATTGGTTGGTTGGTTGTCTTTCCACCCAGTCTAATCAAAATTCTTTATTTACAGATTGATTGGCTGGGGTCAAATCAGAAGAGGACTGACCATGAAAGATGGTGCCAACTAATTATACTTGGAACACACGAACTGCTTTCTAATTCTGTTATTACTACAGCATATAAACAAACCACACTGTACATTTATGTCTCGAAGTTTCCCACGAAAATTTGCTACGTTTCTGTACGGTGCGGTTGAATTAGTAAACAGATGTACTTGTGTGACTAATATTTAACGTATAGATCAGGATTTAACCACATAGACTGTCAGGGGATATACATCAAGCGATCTGTAAACAAAGTAGTCAGACAGGCCAGCTATGCAAGAATGGGTCTATATTAAATTCCTTTTCTGCCAGGTTAATCCAATATATTGTAGCGCAAATCTAGACAGATGAAATAATTCAGTATTTCGGTTTGTTCTCTATTTAATTGCTTGAGGTCAATCATGAAAATCTTTTAACTGAAAACATAGCTGTATACAATGTAGCACAAGAACACTGCCCTTGAGGCGACACTTACTGTATTAAGAATCTTTGAAGTATTTGTACTAGTATTAAATAATCCTTTTTAAAGATGTTATCCGGTATAAATATAATCAGTAGAAATATTATTTGTCAAGACTATGTCTATTCATTGAATCGATTGGTCCTTACTGGACTTCTGCAAGTAAGCAATTTCTTTGTCTTGATTAAGAGTCTTCAATCGTAGTGACATTTTTCGTCTTTCATCAGACAAGACTGCGTCTCCTTCTTTGTGACTGAACTACCTAAAAAAGATATCCGAAACGTGGTTGTCCAGTGCAGGTAGTATTCTGCAATAAGCTGTCGTGGTTTGTGACTGAACTACCTGAAAAAGATATCTCAAACGTGGTGGTCCAGTGTAGGTAGTATTCTACAATAAGCTGCCATGGTTTGTGGCTGAACTACCTGAAAAAGATATCTCAAACGTGGTGGTCCAGTGTAGGTAGTGTTCTGCAATAAGCTGCCGTGGTTTGTGACTGAACTACCTGAAAAAGATATCTCAAACGTGGTGGTCCATTGTAGGTAGTATTCTACAATAAGCTGTCGTGGTTTGTGTCTGAACTACCTGAAAAAGATATCTCAAACGTGGTTGTCCAGTGTAGGTAGTATTCTACAATA